TTATTATTACCCGCTTTTAATAAAGTTGGGGTATTATTTTCGGCCTGTCTGTCCGTTCGTCTGTATTTCTGTCTGTAACACTTTCGTTTCGGCGCGATATATATATATATATATATATATATATATATATATATATATATATATATATATATATATATATATATATATATATATATAATACTGTTCGTTATTTCCATATCCTTCATCGAAAAGTATCTGAGATTTTGCAATGAAAGTTTACACAACTTCTTTGGCCTAGGGAAGACCCATATTTCAGACCAAAGTTTTGTCAAAGATCAAGGTCATGAATTAAAAAAGTTCTATTTTAACACTTTTCAATGCGATTTCTTCAGAAGCCTTTGACCTTTTGCAGTGAAATTTTGTACCACAAGTCCTTATGGATTTAGAAGGACCTCTATTTACTTTTTTAAATCAAAGACATTAATTGATAAATCGTGTGTGTAAAAAAAATCATTTCCAGGCGATACCTTAAGAAGTTTTGGAGCTTTTACAATAAAATTATTATCTTAACACCTTCTGTCCCCGCCTGCCCATCTTAAAGTGTCCTCCTTGATCCGTACATGCTGTTTTTCCATTGGCGGGAAACACATATTCTCTGAATTAGTTGTTTAAATTTCATTATAATTACTGTAAACAGGGTTATTTTTACCCGTGTTGTTTTTGCCCTTTCACACTGGCAAACAATTTTGCCCATTTTAAGGTAGGATTCTTCTCTGGTTTCTGACAAGATGAAATATTCAATGTATATTTGCTTACATGTCTTATATACTGTAGAATCACAAATTTTCGTGGGGATAAAATTTCGTTGATTTGTCATCAAAAAAAGTTTCGTGGGCATTTAATTTCGTTGTTTTGAAAGTAGTCCTACTCAACATATAGTCATTTAAAATTTCGTGTGGGATTTAATTTCCTTGATCATTGTTAACAACGAAATAACCGAAATTTAATCCCCCACGAATATTTGTGCTTTTACAGTATATTTAGGTGAAAGAGATTTAAAAGACTACATTTTTCTTTCCTCGTCACAACTGTACAACTAAAAATAGAAATGGTAAATTGTGTTTGAAAACTAACAGTGACTATATTTTTGGCGGAATGGTGGCGCATGAAAAAAATCTTTTGTGCTTCTCAAAATTATTATAGAACTACAAATTTACTTATACTTTTTACACAATCAAAGACTAGAGGATTTTTTCAAATGTTAGCTAAATTAATAATAAGGAACTAAAGTTTTCAAAAAATATCAAATATCAAACAATCTACGATTATGTTAGCTTTAAAAAACTAAGCTTCAACTCCAGGTTCAGATATGAGCCAAAATCCACAGAGAGTGTTTTCGCTCTTACTAAATGGTCAAAACTTTTTATTTTTGTATCATTTTGTGTCTATATATGACTGCTTTACAATATGTAAAAATATGTAAAATTTAAATATAGGGCGTATATTGAAATAACTGAAATATCCTTTTAAAAATTAGGAAAAACAGAGAAAATTCGGATTAGCCAAAATCCGTTTTGTTGAGCTATCTGTGTCAATTTGGTAATATCATCTTATAGATCCTGTATGATAATCTTTTTATGCAAAAAGAAAAACATTTATCTTGTAATGACCTTGACCTGACCTTGACTCTTATACAAAACGGTCAAAACTAATCTAACTCATACCATCACTAAGTGATATTATCTTCTTGATTCTGTGAAAATGTCATTAATGTTTAAATACAAGAAATACAGTTTTGTGTGAGAAGAATTTTACCTTAAATTCCCAATTATCATTTCTGTTTAAGGAATGACATTCTGTGCTTTTTTACTTTGCCCCGTTTTAAATTTGCCTACCGATGAGATGGGCGAAGGTGGCGAAAATTTCCCTGTATACACTATTAATTTACAAAGTGTAAAATTACGTATATTTTATATGTTCTGTACAATGTTTCTGTTTCTGCTAATAACTAATGACAATAGACCAATGAAAGTCAATGAAAACCCTGTCAGGGCTATGATAAATCTATTTTGATTGATTGGTTGTAAATTGTTTAACGTCCCTCGCGAGAATTTTTCACTCATATGGAGGCTCCACCACTTGCCAGTGGAGAGCTGTAATTTTTTTCCTATACTCGGCACTCGGGGCCATTAAACAGGGAGGGATCTCTTTTTCGTGCCAGCATCTACTACGACACGGAACCTTGGATTATACGGTCTTCTGTCCTAGTACTGGATTGAAGTTAATGTTGAGAGAGACTGCATTTGGGGTCCTTAATGTTGTTCTGCATAATAATCATAAATGGATTATCTAACCTTGGAAATCCTAGCATTGAGCACACAACAGCAGCATCTCTGTCATCCCAGGAGTCATCACAAACAGTTCCCCAGGCACCGTTATTCTTAACCTCAACTCGACCCATAGCAGATGTGTACCCATTGACAAGTCGAATATTTTGAGCTGAAAATCATGACATCCCCTCCCCCATTACTTACTGGTTTACAAAAGCCGAGAATATCATACCGAGTATTTAATTGAAAGATAAATTACAATAGGGTTTTATCAGTGTTTATATGATTGAATTATTCCTTTTTCTCTGACTGGATGAAGTCCAACATTGTAGTAGAGGAGCTATGTTTTGTTAATTGTTGGTGTTTTGTGATTTGCTACACGGGTTTTACTTTTATTATTTACAGGTGAATTTCTTTTCATTGGTTACCTTTTTTCGATTTTGATATGGATCTCTGATTTGACATGCACTTGAAAAACAATACGGGGAAATCAGTGTTTGAAAAACACATTTAGTCGTCGTAGAATTTACATGCATACGTACCGGGTGAACAAAGTACTCCTGCATCCTCACTGTGTTGACAGTTATGTTTGCCTATTGCTGTTCTGTTACATTGCAATATATTGGATTCATGACCACTACATGATAAATCGTCAATCCAAATTTTGCCACTTCCTTGTCCATAAAATGCGTCTGATTTGGCTGTTGCAAAATTTCTACCCATAAAATATCAGGAAAAATGTGTATATAGTAAGATTTGGATATATTCTGTAAAAACATTATTCGGTATGGGAAAAATTTACTCGTTGAAGTTATTTACCTTACCTTGGAAAGCCTAGCATAGAACAGACAACAGCTGCATCTTTATTGTCCCATCCATCATCACATATTGTACCCCAAACACCGTTATGTTTTATCTCTACCCGTCCCTCATACGGCAACGATCCATTGACAAGTCTTATATTATCTAATGCACAACAACAATAAATAATATAGTGAAACAAAAAGCGTAGAATTTAAGAGTTACTCTAAGTACTTTTTCTCTATAAGAAAATTATAAACATCACTACAAAGCCTTTGCAATAACATATTCACATAAACTGTTATGTTCATGCCAGCTATGGAAATCTCTGAATACCGCCTCCCTGTAAGTCGGAACCTTCCTTGGCACTATGAAATTTAGATATACTCAGAGACTATAAAATGCCTGTATGAAAGTATCTTGTAAAACAAATTTACAAATTTCATTTCCTAATATTTTGCCTGTGTATTGTGTTAAACATTTTGGCATGTTTACTTACGGATGAGTGATTTCGTTTATTGATGATATGGATACATGCCAAAATGTTTAAGACGCAATACTATTAGATAAACAAATTTGTGAATTTGTTTTACAAGACATTTTTATACAGGCGTTTTTAAAGTTTCTGAGTATATATGACTTACTAATATTGTATGTTAAATCATGGAGACAGGAGGGGACATTTTCTGACTGTGACCTTATAATCCAGTCCGGGAAATCCAAACTTTCTCTTCTTATGCGACTGTGTTATAGGAACACAATTTTCATTAACTTTAATACAGTTTGTCTATTATAAAACAAGGAAATTAATTCCAATCCAAACGGATCATCTTATGCTCTGTTAGCTAGCGTCGTCACAATAACAAAGGTATGATACAGAATTTCGTACAATTTAATTTACAGTATGAGTTTAATGATATTCTTGTTTGCTACTTCAATGTTGATATTTTTTGGAGTAGAAGTAAACATCCCCATGATCCGGTGTCCTGAAATACCTTTTGTGAAATATTTTTGAGGCTTTTATTATGTGCCAGCAAAAGATGAAAAGCCTTAGCTTAACGACATGTAGACAAAATAAGTGATCATGAGCAGATTCTTTGAAATGCTCAATTACACTGAGAGAACTCTGACTTCTTGAGACTGCACATATGTTTTTATTATTGATAGTTCGTAGTCGCATTTACGAAACAGTTCAAAAATTCACATATATGTTATTTTACGTCCCATTTTTCACTCATACAGAGACGTCACAATATACTGATTAAGGCCTTCAAATTTTGACCTTTACTCGGCATTCATGGCAGTAGGGGATATGCATCGTGCCAACGCCTGTCGTGACACCGGGTCTCGGTTTTTAAGGTCTCATCCGAAGGACCCGCAAATTCACTTCAAAGTGCCGACTGCATGGCGAAGGAACGGTTGCTATCCATTTTTTATCGACTTAGGTCAGTCGCGGCCTAGATTCGAACTCACGGTCTTCCGATCACTACGCGAGCGCTCTACCGATTGAGCTACCGTTACGCTTTTTACATTAGAAGCACAATAAAAGATACTTGAATGAAGGTACATGTACATGTAAATGAGAAGAAATTATTGTTCTTATCTCGATTTTCAAAATATTTGATACAGCCGAAATATGGCTAAAATATTGCCGCCTACTCGGCGTTAAACAAGATACAATCAATCAAATATTAAATAACTAATTAAATAAAAAAAATATTTTAGAAAATTCATTCAATAAACAAATGAATATTTTTATTTAACCAATTGTAAAACTGTATTCTATAATGTTTATTTCTTTTTGGTATGAATATAATATTAAGAATTTGCACTAAAAACCCTGACATCACAGGAGGGCGGAAATGCCTTAATAAATCATATATAGAAATAGAGAATAAACAAAAGGTACTGGAAAACCTATGTTAATATCTTATGTTATTATATGCCTTGATGATTGCTTCAGATATGAGCTAGTTTCCAATAAATGGACCTGTCCACATACAATGAATTGACCAAGTCCCAATGTTCTGATTCAAATATCAATTGCAATATTACAAATGTAAGTAGAGACTTACTGGTTTCATTTCCTATAAAAATGGTTACTCTGAGAGTCTATGTATTGAAAGACAGGCTTTGTGAAATTGCAATGTTCTTGAAATTTGAAGAAAATGGATGTTTTACTTACATTAAAGAATCAAAATATAAGCTCACTCCTCGATCCAAAAAATAAAACATATATTATAATCCTCTGAAACGATTCTTTTATTATAAAACTGAACATTTCAGACAAAAGGTTGGAATGTAGATGAATTATTGAAAAACTGTTTAAATGTTTGGTCATTTTTGAATAAATTTGTAGGATTTAGGATAATAAGCAATTTAGAAAGTTATAATACATGGACTACAGGGAAAATGACATCATTTTTAACCCCCCAAGTCACCAGTGTGGTCTGTGTGAGAGGATCCCAGTGAAAATTACTGTATTTTCAACTTAAACTGAACCGCGAAACTTATTCTTTAAATACATGTATATATATTGGTACACTGTTTTTTTTTCTAGGTCCAGTTGTGATTATTCGTACCTAATGAGCAAATAACCCCTGCATCTTCACCATGGGAACAATCGTGTTTACCAAGTTTTGATTTAGAACAATGAAATAAATTAACATCGCTTCCTGTACATTCCACCTGGTCCATCCATATAGTTCCAGATCCTGCTCCAAAGAAAGCGTCCTTTTTGGCAACCGCATTTTCCCTGAAAAAAGAAGAATCTTGCATTATATATATATCTTCGACATCACTAAAATAAGTTTTACGTTCTATATTTCAATTTCGATAATCTGCTGATAATGCTTAATAGAATGACAATGAAAAAAAACGTAATACAAGTTATTGGTTTTGATTATCTTTCTATCTTACCTTGAATATCCTAGCATTGAGCACACTACACCAGCATCTATGCCATCCCAGTCGTCATCACAAACAGTTCCCCACGTACCGTTATACATTACCTCCACTCGACCCATCGCAGATGTATATCCACTGACAAGTCTGATGTTTTGAGCTAGAACAATAAAATTGATAATTAAATTTTGGGATATGCACTTTATAGAGTAATTTTCCAGTCATTTCATATGATCTGGGGTATGCATTCATGAAATTCAACTTTCAGAAGAGCAATATGGCCTAGTATTGTCAAGAATCTAATAAAATAGCTATATATCTAGTTGGATAAACGGACGGAAGATCAAACGAACAGAAAATCAGGATATTATCCTAAGTGAAAATTGATGCAATTAATGTCCACTGTTATGGTTGATAAATAAATATTTTCAATAGACTGATTGCTGTACCACTTCGTTTGGTTGTTTCACTCATATTGAGACGCCGCCACTTGCTGGTGGAGGACTGTGAATTTAGACCTGTGGACCCAAGACCATAAACTGAGAACAGACTTAAGTAAAATTTTGATTTTAAATAGCTTCAAGTTGTCATTTATGATATATACATATGCTAATAAAAAATTACAGGTTTGTATAATATTCCAATTTAAAGATATGGGGGGGGGGGATTTTGTTATGAAGTTTATTTTAAAATTATATTGATTTGACATTTTGACTTAAGTCTGTTCTTGGTTTATGGTCGTGTGGCCTGTACTCGCTTAAAGCTTTTGACCAATGATCATGAGGTATGTCTTTTGTGCAAGCACCTCCTGTGACACAGGATGTCGATTTATAAACGGTCTCGTGCGACCGACCGGTCGTCACGTCCCGAAGCTGATTCGAACCCGCAACATAAGGATCAACTCTATGGTTTGCGACTTTAGAGCGAACACTCTTTCCATCGTGTCATACAAGAGACGGTGACATTAGTTAAAGCAAGATTAAACTTTCCTCATAGTAGGTCTTCACCCTTTTTAATCTGGTAATACAAGTAGACACAAAGGTTAGAAGAGAGAATACCTAATATACAAGAAGGAAATCATTCTAGAACTCTAAAGTCAATTATCTGTAGGGGAAATCGTACTAAACGAGGGCTGTTCAATAAATAATGTCCTGAACTATACGACACATAATACAGATAGCATATGACATTAAGCATGACTTTTTCGCATTATTGAATAATTAATGAATTTATAACAATTTATGTGACCAGTTTTCATTACATAATTTCTTGTGAGAAGCTGGAAAACAAGGGCTATTTAAGACACTGTATTATAAATGAATGGTAAATATTAAGTAAACTAGAGTTAAATTAAATGCTTCATGCTTCATTAAAACTGCTATAAAACTCGTTAAGAATCCCAAAGAAATATTCACTGAAATATGTTAAATTTACGGCAATCAATATCTGTTTTATAAACAAATGAGTTGGTGGATTTCTATGATAAAAAAATTATATAATGGGCATCAAAAATTGGTACCGTCCTTGCCAACAAAAATTATTACAACTAATGTACTGTTTGCAAATTTCAACAAATAATCACTGATAATGTATGATTGACTTTCAGACCCATAGCAAATTTGATGTACATTATTTCGAAAGTACAGTTCACATTGTTTAAAAGAAACGTTTGGTAGAGAAAAAGCTAGTGCTCAAAGGTCACCCTAGGTTTAGAGAAATGAGTGAAAACGACAGTGTGCAAGAATATCTAAACAATTATTTTAAAATGTCAGTAATTGTAGTTATCCACGTTTGTTTGAAATTCAAACAGATAATGAAACTTGAATCTATTGCGTGAAACCATCGAAACAAAATTTACAATAAGATGTACTGGACAAAAACAGCAAAGATCTAAGAAGAGCAAAGAATTGCAAGAGCACAAAGATGCAATTTTCTTAAATATTAGTGGTCCTGTTGTTCAAATTCGTATTCGGGGAGGCAGTTTAATAAAGCAATTTTTTTGCCAAAAAATCGAAAGGTTAATGAGAGGAACGAAACAGAATCAGGAATCCAGTACATTAAATTTCTTCATGACAGCGTCCAAACCTGAACACCCTGAAGAGAAAAAGAGTTTTGGGATAAACAGAAATTTAATTTTTTTTTAACATTAATAATATTCGCCAAATATTTCGCCTTTTTACTTGTTTCAAGCTTGAAAAAACACCTTTCAGAAAGAAGAAACAATTCCAGGAAAGATCTGCCATTTCCCAGTATAATAAGGGTCATACCCAAAAATGAGTTCTAAAAACAATCAGAAATTTGATAAAAAAAAAATTACGGTCATGCATTTTAATTAAAAGAGAATAATAAGTTAAATCATTAAGATTAAATCTTTGAAAAGCGCCCTTTTCTTCTTTCCGAGCACCGAGGACATTATTATACCCCCCGCTTTAAAAAGCGGGAGGGTATATAGTAATCAGGACGTCCATCTAACTCCTTCTGTCTGTCTGTTACAGTACTTTGGAACTCCCCTCATACCACTGAATGAAATTTGATGAGACTTTCACAGAATCTTTATTACATATTGCCATTGTGCACCTCCTATTTTACTTTTTGATCCGACACATATTTTGGGTTTCCCGGCCACAGGAAAACATGGACTTTTTCACCAGTTATAACCATATGGGAGGCGGGGGGTATCATTTAGTGAGCTCATCGCTCACAGTACCTCTAGTTTATTGAACAGATCCTATACCCCCAGTAACTACGATGGCCAATATGAGCCGTCAAATTACAAGTAAGAGTAGCTCTATTATGTATACATGTTAATGTTATATTCCAATTCTTTTAATGATATTTAAAACAGCAAGACTGATTTTGATTTTACAAACATTGTCAGTGATCTGTCGGGTTTTCCATCATTGAAGGCATATTTTGTGAGAGTCTTTTTCAGATTCCATCGTAAATCAGCTGCATCTTTTATGTAAAACGTTATGTATCCCCATATTTTATCTTTTCCTCGTTCCAATGAGAAAAAAAAATGAAGAAAAAAATATGTAAACAGGGCAAGCATAGAATGAATAATAAACACACTTTTTTACGCAGATCATCAAGGACAGATTTTCATCTGGCGGGTAAAGAAACAAAATAGATGCAGCTCCATTGTTTCTGGGATCTTTAACGCATATTTACTATTACCTAATGTTATCATCTCTCATTTGTTCGAGGCTCTATGTAGCTGTTGTGAAAATTTTAGGTTTTCTTTTACTCACTAAAAATACATGCTATTGAAAAATTGATTTCCATGATTTTCACGCATGATTGCGCTCATTTAACACTTCAGTAGACGGCTATTGTCAGTATACCCGTACTTTGAGAATCATGCCAAGAACATAACTTTCTGAAAATCAAAAAATGGCAGTTTATCGGATGCATTAACGGAGGTCAATCAATATGCCAGACTGCTAGACAATTTAACAAATCAAAAAGTGTGATTTTACGTCTGTGGAACCGGTACCGCCAGACAGGGAGCGTAAAAATTAGACAAGGTCGAGGTTCCAAACGTAAAACAACAGCGCGTAATGACCGTGAGCTGGTGCTGCTTTCCCTACATAATAGGTTCAAACCAGCATAAAAAATAAAATCCGAGTTCAGGGCAGCAAGAGGAATACGAATTTGTGACCGTACTGTCAGAAACAGACTTAAAGCAGCGGGCCTAAAAACACGTCGTCCTGTTGTTGGAGTAAGGATGACTGCTAAACACAGGCGTCTCAGAAGAGCATGGGCTACACAACATCAAGCAAGACAACTTCGACAAAGGTGCTATACCATGTTCAGCGATGAATCTAGGTTCAATTTGGACTTTGCAGACGATCGAATTCGTGTTTGGCGACGCTTTCTTGAACGTCATCATTAGTGTACAATTAAACAACATGATTCATATGGTGGTGGTTTGGGGCGGCATATCCTACGACCACAGAACTGACCTTGTTCGACTGGATTGAAAGATGAATAATGTCCGTTACCATGAAGTGTTGCGGTCTGTTCTTCCTTTCCGCCGTAGAGTGGGCGTAAATTTTGAGTTCCAACACGACAATGCTCGACCCCACACGTCTCACGTTAGCAGGGATTTTCTGACGCAGAACAACATCAGAGTGTTGCAATGGCCATCCAAAAACAGACCTTAACCCCATTGAGCACCTCTGGGATGTTCTTGGGGGTCGGGTAAGTGACCGTGATGCCCCACCACAGACAGTTGATGCCATGTTCCAGACTCTTCAGGAAGAGTGGCGCGCAATTCCTCGAGCTGAGATACGGAGGTTGATACAGAGTGTTCCACGACGGTGTGAGGAAGTGATCAAAAAGTAGGGAGGACACACCAAATACTAAAATTTTACCTGGGAAACACATATTTAGTCAAATATATTTGATTAGAATCCACTGACAATAAAGCAAATGTCCCTATAAATTTATGTGTTCCCTTATTTATTTCCATCAGTATATATTGGGTACATCCCACTTATTATTTCTAGAATCGGTAGGAGAAGAAAGTAGTGCAGAAAAAAATTACGTTCCTTAATTTGCAGAAATGCATAAAAAAAATTGTGCAGATGTACACAACTGATCCTAACAATTGTGTATGTCTTTCCTACTAAAAAAGGTCGCCCGCGTGGCGCAGTGGTTAGAGCGTCTGCTCTAAAGTCGCGAAGTAAGGAGTCTATCCTTACGTCGCGGGTTCGAATCCCACTGTGGGACGTGGAGACCGGTCCTTCGGATGAGACCGTATAAACCGAGGCCCCGTGTCGCAGTAGGTGCTGGCACGAAAAAGATCCTTCACTGCTCAAAGGCCCTAAGTGCCGAGCATAGGACAAAATTTGTAGCCCTCCACCGGCAAGTGGTGGCGTCTCCATATGAGTGAAAAATTCTCGACAGGGACGTGAAAACAACATACAACCAACCAACCAACCAACCTACTAAAAAAGCTTGGCAAATGTCATTTATCAAGAAGATCAGCCGAATTATTTTGTGTATTATAACGCCAGTGAGAACTCTGAAATTCCCCAACTTTCACTTTCATTATAAGAGGTTCCCGCAGACAGACGCATTTTGCCGGAAAACAAATCTGACATGCTACCTCGAGATTTTAACCGAGGAAAGACAACTTGATGTTGCTTTGATTTGAGGGGTCACTCACTGCTGAACGAAAATTAGGGACATCGCTGTAAGAGGAAACGTTAACATTGTCGCCTATGGGAAAACAATAAGTGGACTGTACCCATATTCAAATACTGGTACCTATCTTGAAAAAAGTGGACCTATCTTTAAATAACTGAACCTATCTTCAAATGAATTAAAGATAGGTACAATTGATAATAGATAGCTCTCAATGAATTAAAGATACACATAGGTTAAATAATTATACCTATCTCTAAATACTTAAACCTAGGTTCAAATAAATTACACGTATCTTTAATGAAATTAGACCTGTCTTCAATTAAAGAGAGTTTTAATTGAATTATACCTATCTTCAATTCTTTTGAAGAAAGGTACAAAAGAATTAAAGAAAGGTATAATAATAGAATTGAAGATACATTGTATAGGTACAATCGAATGAAAAATATGTACAATTGACTTGATGATAGGTTTAATGAAAACATATCTACACAAGAATTAAAGATTGGTATAATTCAATTGTACCTAAGTTTAACTTTTTATCTGTTATTAAAAATACGGAAAGCTACCCTCGAGAGTGACTTAAACACGTAAGGAACCGTACAAAGTATTTCATTAGGAGTAGTTGTTATTGTCAGTATCTTAATAATTAAAGATAGGTTCAAGTCAACCGCACCTATCTCTCGATCAATTATACCTATCTTTAATTCATTCTTACCTATCTTCAAATTTATTGTACTTATCTCCAAATGAATTAAAAATAGGTACAATTGAATTAAAAATAGGTACAAATATCTGACTATATATTAATTTGGCATTCCATATATTCCACACCAGTCCGAAAAATCAACTGTTGCCTGAGACCTTGCCAAAAACTGGGTATGTAAAGTTATGAGAAACAAATCCATATAAAAATTTGGGAAGTGCACTTTTTACAAAAATAAGATATTGAGTGAAAATCATTAATGATTTTCTACACATTCACTGTGATTTGATTTCATAACATATCGATATTTATTATTACTACATGTAGCTAGTTACTCAATGCTTTTTAAAGCAATTTAGTTTGTTTTTAAAACAAAACAAACTCTTACCTTTTACAAATGGTATGCCTCGGATGATTATTGCTGTCAGAAATAATATCTGAAACCTGGAATATATAAAATGCATTTCTCTTCAAAATCACCAAATTGTATCGATTTTTAAGTGGTACATTAATTTTCACACTAAAACATGTATCGTATCTTTTGAAACATCAACAAGGAAGGATATACTGTAATTACAAAATACCAAAAACTACTTACTTTATACACTACATAAGTAAGTGCTCCGTAACCTTTTGAAAATAAATATCTATCAGTGTGACTAACCCTCAATTTACGTTACATAGTAACTGAGAACATAAAACTTAAGATAAAAAACGTTGATAGTCTAGAATTCAACATCTTCGACTGGGGTAAGTGTTGGCGTCTCCATATGAATGAAAAATTCGAGAGAGACGTCAAACAACAAGCAAACATTTACAAACATCAACAACAACGGGAGGTAAATCAACATACAAGCAATCAATAAATCAAATTATTTTTGTTTTAGTATGCTGTTTAACGTCTCTTTCGAGAATTTTTCACTCAAAAGGAAAGACCTATTATTGCTGGTGGGATGTTCAATTTTTGAAAACTGGCGGTAGGGTTGTGACACATTAATTTTGACATGAGAATATGTAGAGGGAAAATCTGCTGATTGAGAACAGAGGGGACATGGCCCTTTTCTTTATAATACTACACATATTATTTACAATTTAAGAGGAATTTTTAACTCAATTAAATATTTTGATAAGAAATATTTACATTTCCAACAAATTTCCCCTATGATTCTTCACAGAATAAAATGCAGTTGATTTTCTCATGAACTACATTACATTTGTACCACGAATAGGCATGGATATAACATGCATTCTCTGTAAGCACCAAAAAATCTTGGAAACGACAAGTCTCGGATTTTGATGAAATTTTCACCATAGGTGTTCCTTGGTACAAAACTAGTAAACATGGTGTCGGAAATTCCACACATGCACTTGGTTGCCATGGAGACGGATCCATTGAATTCGGCCATTTTTGGCCCATTTTGACTAAATGAAAACATGAAAATTGAGGAAATATAAATGAATATTTATTGGTATCTAATACACTCTAACAAAAATCATTGGATCATATGATAACATGACATTTTAAGGTACACAGGGTATATAAACGTTTATTCTAGAAATTTCCTCCTGTACGAAAAAGGTCATGCAAACTTACATGGTTTCTAAAAATTTGAAAAATGGGGAAATTGGAATTTTTTGAGATCTTTGAGGCTAAATAAGAAAAATTGTCCGCGGAAATTTCCCAAATCTTATATGTGTTATCATACTTGGGAATAAGTAGTGTCACTTCATGAAAAAACATAAGTGGGCTTTTGCTCCTATTTTTAGTAACATGTATCTATAAATAGATATGTTTTAGAAAAATGTGAAAAATCAAATTTTGGCAAAGTTTAAATTGTCATTAATGCATAATTAGAAGGTATGTTGTAAAATTTGATATTTTAATGACAAGAGCTGGACACCACTAGCTGGTATGGACAACGGTTGAGGTTAATTCCCATTTCTATTTTAAGTAACAGGTGGCTAAATATAGATATGTCTCTGAATATTAGGAAAAATGGCATTTTTGTTCTAATTGGAAGCTTCATATAAAAAGTCCTAACGAAAATAAAGCTTTCTACAATATGCTTTCAGAATGTACATGTGTTTGTTCAAAAATTGCTACAATATTGAGGATAGACTCTTGCTTCATTATATGGCAACAATGGTCTAAAAATAGATTACTCGAATAATTAAGAAAATATAGATTATTGCACCTTTTCAGACAATTTTTAGATGTAGTTCCTGCATAATTAGTAAATATTTTGTAAAATTTTAGATGTAAATATCAAGAGCTGGACACCACTAGCAGGTATAGATAATTGATGAGGGGAATTCCCATTTCTATTTTTAGTATCAGGTGGCTAAATATAGAGATGTCCCTGAATATTAGGAAAAATGGCATTTTTGTTCTAATAGGAAGCTTCATATAAAAAGTCTTAACAAATATAAAGCTTTCTCTAATATGTTTACAGAATGTACATGTGTTTGTACAATAATTGCCACAATATTGAGGAGGGACTCTTGTTTCATTTTATGGCAACAATGGTCTAAAAATAGATTAATCGAATGATTTGAGAAAATGTAGATTATTGCACACTTTCAGGCACTTTTTAGATGTAGTTGCTGCATAATTGGGAAATATTTTGAAAAATTTTAGATGTTAATGACAAAAAAATCTGGATACCACTAGGTGGTATGGATAATTGTTGAAGGGAATTCCCATTTCTATTTTTAGTATCAGGTGGCTAAATATAGAGATGTCTCTGAATATTAGGAAAAATGGCATTTTTGTTCTAATTGGAAGCTTCATATAAAAAGTCCTAACAGATATAAAGCTTTCTACAATATGCTTTCAGAATGTACCTGTGTTTGTACAATAATTGCCACAATATTGAGGATGAAGTCTTCTTTCATTTCATATCAACAATGGTCTAAAAATAGATGGTTGAGGGGAATTCCCATTTTTATTTTTAGTATCAGGTGGCTAAATATGGAGATGTCTGAATACTAGAAAAATGGCATTTTTGTTCTAATTGGAAGCTTCATATAAAAAGTCCTAACAAATATAAAGCTTTCGACAATATGCTTTCAGAATGCACATGTTTGTACAATAATGCTACAATATTGAGGACGGACTCTTGTTTCATTTAATGGCAACAACAGTCAAAACATAGATTACTCGAATAATTGAGAAAATGTAGATTATTGCGCCTTTTTTAGGCACTTTATAGATGCCATTGCTGCTTAATTTGGAAGTATATCGTAAAATTTGATATGTTAATGACAAAAGCTGGACACCACTACTCGGTGTGGACAATGGTTGAGGGGGTTTCCCAATTCTATTTTTAGTATCAAATGGCGAAATATAGATTTGTCTCTAAATATTAGGAAAAAATGACAGTCTTTTGCTAATTTGAATCTTCCTAGAAAATGGCTTAAATATAAAGCTTTCTACAATATGCCTTCGAAATGAAAACTTGTTTGTACAGGAATTGCTACAATATTTAGAACTGACCTTTTTTTATACCAACAATAGTCTACAAAGATTCCTAGAATAATCAAGAAAATATGGGTTATTGTACCTTTTCAGGCAATGTTGGAAAGAAAAATTAATGTTATACCGTTAGTCTGGAAATTTTTGCTGTAGATAATTTTTTAGCAAATTTGCGAGTTCATTGCATTCGCAAAAATATTTTTCTAAAAAATTAATTACAAATAAGAAAATGTTAACAAAGCAGTGGTTATTTGCAAAATTTTGATACGTAAAAATTAATAAGCACCATTTTGAACTGAATTCGAAAAATAAAATCGATGTAAAAATTTCCAGATTTACAGTAGACGCTGTGTGACTGAAAGATAATTCCAATCTATTTAGTGAAATGCACACTATCTGAACGTGGGGCTCTCTTTTGTATTTATAGCACATCCACTTATGTGTAGCAACTTCTCAGCAGAATAAGAAAAATGACAAAGGATTAAAGGAGCTTCATTGATTACATATTTACGAAATATACTGCTGTATTCAACATGTTCAATATGTCATGAGTATAATAAAGTTTTCCTAGTAAAATAATCATGTGACTGATAAGTATAAATTATATGTAATATCGGTAGTTACCGTTAACTAACAAGCATAAAACAATGATGATATTCAGTTCTACTTATATTTGAAATATGCGAAATCAATGAGGACTTCCAGTTCTATTTATAGAAACAAAGAACAAGGTACAGTTTCAATACAAAATATTTAAAGCTCTATATTTTTCTAATATATGAAAGTGATATAGGAAATCAAAATTCACTCTTTCTGAATCATAAGAATTCCCTGCAGTAAAATACACAAATCGTTTTTCTTATATGACCTCCTAAATGCTAATTGTGACGTCATTAACTTGTGTATTTTCCCGTATTTTCTTAAAAAGTTGCAGAAGACATCAATTTTCAGTGGAATATTTTCTTTCAGAAGACATACTCTGTCACTCTCGCCCAGAGAGATTTTTAGATAACCGATATGTAATTTTTCATAGCAGTTTACATATTCCAAAAATTAAAGAGGGCTACGGTGGCTAAAGGAAAATCAGCACAGAAATTAGTCATTTTGAGGCTTTTCTGCATTAAACTTAAAAGTGTACCAAATTAATAACGTCATATATCCTGAACGACCCCCCTTCGTGTCATATTCTTTAATGATCTATCATATTCACCTACTCAATGATTGTTAAAGCCAATTTCACAACTTTTTAAGAACATTAAATTTTTCGGGCACAATAAAGCTCAAACAGTACCTTCTTATAAAAGACTCAGACCAGAGGGCATCAACAGTCATGAGAGTAACCCTGTAACAGATCAGTGAAATGGCATTTTAACAAGGTCTTGTTATTAGAGATTAGATTCCCTAGTTTCTCCTCTTGTTTAAAGAGAAAATCCCTATGGTTGGTACATGTATTAACAAAATCCTTAGATACTCTGTGACAATTTTGACAAAAAATGACAAAAGGTTCTTGAAATATGGTGACTATCAAAAACAAAAATGCAGACCACAGAAACTGCCAAATAGAATACGTTCTTTGAGTCTTTGTCTAAAAAAATTAAAAGTCTTTGGACAAAATAAACTTGTAGATGAAAATACAGGTACATTGTCAAAGACTAGAATTAGGACAATCAGGAATTATTTTACAGAACAATTGAAAAGATTTTTAAAGCTTTGCTATAAATGGCATAAATATCTATATTTCGCCACGTGATACTAAAAATAGCAATAGGAACCCCCCTCAACTTTTGTCCACACTAACTAGTTGTGGCCAGCTACTTTAATCAACATATAAAATATTACAATATACTTCCTACGTAATCAGCAATGACATCTATAAAGGGCTTAAAAAGCTGCAGTGATCTTCATTTTCTCCATTATTCGAATAATCTATTTTTAGACCATTGTTGGTATGAAATGAAACAAGAGTTCATCCTCAATATTGTGGAAATTATTGTACAAACACATGTACATTCTGAAAACATATTGTAGAAAGCTTTATATTTGTTAGGACTTCTTATATGA